CATCCCATGCCCAGACACTTTGAGAAGTATATTAGTGAAACTATTCAGATTTCTCAAGCAATGTGCCAAACAAAGGGGAATGCAAATCTAAGCTATTTCTGAAACCACTAGCCAGTAAGGTCTGAGATAATACTATCTTGTCCCCAAATGTGGAAAATATGTCAAATTAATCCCTAGATATAGAAGACAAACCTCTCATTGGTCTGTAGAATGTTTAAATATATGAGTTTATATGTTGTTCCATATTTTGCAAGGAGGAGAAAATAGGCACACTTGTTTTATATTAAGCAGACTTGGGACTCATGATATAACAATGAGTAAGTCATAAGCACTAGTAATTTCCTATGGAGTCTGCTTCATTACTTCACTGAAAGATAGATAAAATAATTCAGTTCAACATAGTTTCCTGCTACCCAGAATGAACACTGTCATATTCCGATGCCAGGAAATATTTTTATTGTTGCTATATCTTTTGTTCCCCGGATGCTAAAATGTTCCAGATTTTAAAACTGTTTGCAGCGGTCTGATTTTTTAGATCAAGTTACTGTGTAAGACTTAAATTATGCTTACCACATTTCCACACCATCGTAAGCATATACCAATCTCTCCTCAATCCATCATCCTCCAAATATGTTAGATTGCAAACTGTATTAACCCCAGCCCTGGTGTAGTGATGGAAGGTTTAGGCAGACATCTCTGGCTTGAGAGAAGATTGATATACTCTTGGAGCAAATGCAACCATCTGGATATGGATCCCCCGATTTTCTAAACCAGGGATCCTCAAACTAAGGCCTGAGGGCCAGATATGGCCCTCCAAGGTCATCTACCTGGCCCTTGCTCAGGGTTAACCTAAGTCGGAAACTACTTGAAAGTACACAACAACAATCCTATCTCATCATTTCTGGGCACCACAATTCAAGAGAGATATTGACAAGCTGGAATGTGTCCAGAGGAGGGCGACTGAAATAATCAAGGGTCTGGAGAACAAACCCTATGAGGAGTTGCTTAAGGAGCTGGGCATGTTTAGCCTGAAGAAGAGAAGGCTGAGAGGAGATATGATAGCCATGTATAAATATGTGAGAGGAAGCTACAGGGAGGAGGGAGCAAGCTTGTTTTCTGCTTCCCTGGAGACTAGGACGCGGAACAATGGCTTCAAACTACAAGAGAGGAGATTCCATCTGAACATGAGGAAGAACTTCCTGACTGTGAGAGCCGTTCAGCAGTGGAACTCTCTGCCCCGGAGTGTGGTGAAGGCTCCTTCTTTGGAAGCTTTTAAACAGAGGCTGGATGGCCATCTGTCAGGGGTGATTTGAATGCAATATTCCTGCTTCTTAGCAGGGGGTTGGACTGGATGGCCCATGAGGTCTCTTCGAACTCTTTGATTCTATGATTCATCAGCCAAAAGCGGGCTGTAATGAATCCCTTACCTGGGCAAGCTAGCTTAGGCCTAGGAGAGTGGGCCTGGCAAAGCCACAGCATCCATTTTGGAGAAGGGAGACAGGGAGACGCCATCTTAGGTTAGGTTTGCCCAAAGGGGGCATGTTCTAGTCTTGGAGGGGAAAACAGAAGGCTAGGATTGGTTGGAACGATGGGGGTGGAACCTAAGTGATCTGAAGGAAAAAAGTGACTTTTAAACTGAGGCTGGAGTTTCCAGTTTGCGAGTTGAGAGTTGGAGCTTGGAAAGGGTGTTAGCGAGAGCAGTTGGGGGTTTTGAAGAAGAACTTTGGGTCAGTCTTGTGATTAGTATTCAGGGTAGCTATAGAGAAATATAGCTAGAATACTGTGTGAAGCAGAACCCCGTTAGTGGTCTGTTCTTTTCCTAAGGAAGGCTAGTTCCGGTTTTGGCTAGATTCCTAAGGGGAATTTTTTGTGGGAGTTACTTTCAGAAATTCATTTCCTGAAGTAATTTTCTGCGTTGAAACCTTTAAGACTTGTAACCCAGAAGTTTTAAGAGCTCTTCTCAAACGTAACCACAAGCTTTGTATGTCAGATTTTTACTGAAACCATCAAGCATTTGTATCTGAAATATTCAAGTCTGTTCAATAAAAGTTCTTGTTATTTTTATCAACCTATATCAGTCTCAGTGTGAATACTTTTGTGGTCAAAGTGTTATTCAAGTCATTTTTTAACAGCCTCTAAGAAACCTATAGTGACACAGGGTGTGTGACTGAATAATATCTCAACATAAACTCAGCCTGTTTATTAGTAATATGGTGGCAGCGGATATCTTTTAAAGAATAATTTTAAGTCTCTCAGTTCCAGTGGTTCCCAGTACCTAGCTTTTAAATATTCAGTTGGTTCGACAACTATTCTCCCTATATGTTTTGGCGAGCTAGTCTGTAGTGGTGGTGTCATTGTTATAATTTGGCCGAGCAGTGGTGTGGTTCTTTATAATTTGGTGAGCAGCGTTGGGATTATTTTATATATATTTTCCCTGTCTGATAAATCAATTAAAATCTTACTACTACCCTCCTGCTATCGTTATACAGGCCCACACTTCCCATTGAAATACTAATCAGTTAAAATTGTTAAAATTGTTCTTCATTTTTATTATTATACAGGCCCACACTTCCCATTATTATTATTATTATTATTATTATTATTATTATTATTATTATTATTATACAGGCCCACACTTCCCATTGAAATACTAATCAGTTAAAATTGTTAAAATTGTTCTTCATTTTTATTATTGTATTGTTTTAAAGTGGTCTTGCATTACAAATAAGATATGTGCAGTGTGCAGAGTAATTCATTCATGCTTTTTTCAAATTATAATCCAGCCCTCCAACAGTTTGAGGGACTGTGACCTGGCCCTCTGCTTAAAAAGTTTGAGGATCCCTGTTCTAAACCATACACACACAACAAGGAAGCATCAGCAGACATGTGGTAATCCCAGGTTTTGCAGAAGTACAAATCAGTATGAAATATCATAAAGTGAGTGTGTCAAGAGTGATTTAAAACTGCCCAGGACTACTCCTGCTCAGTGGACAGGGAATGTTCCAAGTAAGATTTAATCAAGTTTTGCATATCAAACTTTGTTTTTTGTTATGATTTGTACTAGCTCATGATGGAGCTATTTCAGTACTATAATTATTGGAGCATCATGATCAGTAATTATTACAAGTATAATAAGTATTCCCAATCCACCATTTATATTTCCATTAAGCTCCTCACCCACTAAATGGGACCTATACTGCTAACAATAAATACAGTAAGAATTTGCTGGTGGAAATGAGATGGGAAACAAATAGCAAGCAGATCCCTCCTGCTAATGAATAATACATCAGCAAGTTAGACACATGTGATGGCTCAGATCAAACAGCACATCGAGCCTTACGTTAAAAATAAACGGAGCTGCAATTTGATGTGATGTCTGAACTCGCAAACTGGTTTTGCTAGCAAAACAGAATTGGAAGCCATGGTCCAGAGGAGGTTTGCATTCTGTGATTTGTGCAAACTTTATTGTACACAGAAGGTAGGGGATAGGGTACGTGCCCTTGTGTGTATGAGTCTGCATGATGTTTGAATTTATGAAGGCTGCTTGTTACACATTTGATGGCTCCAATCAGTGTTTGGGCTCTCAACTATCATTAGCTGCTCTGGGCCAGAGTGAGGGGTGGGGAGGAGAAGACAGTTCCATCTTGTCACCTGCCTATATCGTCAGCTGGGAGCGCCCCCCCCCCTCCCCGGCACCAACTGCTGCTCTGGGCCAGATTGAAGAGAGAGGGAGGCAGGAGACAGTTCCATCTTGTCTCCTGGCTATATCATCAGTTGGGAGCTCCTCGGCACCAACTGTTGCTCTAGCCCAGATTGAAGAGAGAGGGGGGCAGAAGACAGTTCTATCTTGTCACCTGCCTATATCATCAGTTGGGAGCGCCCCCCGCCCCCGGCACCAAATGCTGCTCTGGACCAGATTGAAGAGAGAGGGAGGCAGGAGACAGTTCCATCTTGTCTCCTGCCTATATCATCAGTTGGGAGGCCTCCCCTCCCCGGCACCAACTGCTGCTCTGGGCCAGAGTGAAGAGAGAGGTGGCAGAAGACAGTTCCATCTTGTCTCCTGCCTATATCATCAGTTGGGAGGCCTCCCCTCCCCAACACCAACTACTTTTCTGGCCAGAGTGAAGAGAGAGGGGGGCAGAAGACAGTTCCATCTTGTCTCCTGCCTGTATCATCACTTGGGATCACCCCCCCCCCCCAAACCCAGCATAAACTGCTGCTCTGGGCCAGAGTGAAGAGAGAGGGGACTACAGTTGAAGACAGTTCCATCTTATCTCCCGTGCTTTACTTATAATATAATAAATATAATATAATATAATATAATATAGCTTAATATAATATATTGTATATGCATGTAATATTTATAATATTATAATGTAATACAATATAATACTAATAATACTAATAGAATATTATAATTATATATTTTATATTACATGTAATATTACTATATAATGGTGCAGTACAATGTAGTAATATATAATACTGGTATTGTACTATGCTAATAATGTAATATATTGTATGTGTGTGTATATATATATATATATATATATATATATATATATCTTGTAAGCCGCTCTAAGTCCCCTTCGGGGTGAGAAGGGTGGCATATAAATGTAATAAATAAATAAATCAATAGTGTTATTATGTCTAAGTTTAGGATCATGATCTAGAACAGTAGTTCCCAACCTTTGGTCTTCGAGAGGTTCTGGACTTCAGCTGCTAGAAATCCTAAGAGTTGGCCAACCTAGTTGGATCATCTGGGAGTTGAAATCCCAAACCCCTTGAAAACCTATATCCAGAGCAATGTACGCATTATATTTTTCCAAGTTTCCTTTTCAACAGCTGCTTCTCCAACAAACTCGCCAAAGCCTTAAGGAGCAGTTTCTCTAAAGCAGTCTGTCTCATGAATTAAACACAGCACTTCCAAAGATCTTAAAATAACTTTATTCTCTCTCTCTGCCCCTCCCTTTTACTTTTCTCTCCATTACCCTTTGCAGTCTATGCTTCTGTCAGCCTCTATCTGCTCCCAGAACGTCCTGCAACACTTATCCTCTATGATGACCTGGTGCAGATCCTTCTTGGTTCTCCAGGTAAGTGCTAAGATCCAGCTGCACACAAGATATGTGGTGGACATCTTCTTCTTAGGATATCAGAGTGTATCTAGCGCTCATCATTTTGAATGGGGAAAATAAAAAGAAAACTGTAGCCAGGGAACACAAATGTGGCACTAGTCCCTGCCACGCAGAGGAGGAAGACTGCTCTTCCCCCACATCAGAAAGCTTGAGGTGCACTGAGCTTGAACAATGCTTCTCATGCTTTCTTTAACTGTAAAATGTCCTTGTGAGCCCAAGGTTGTTTATATAGAATACAAATACTTAAAAATGCCAATTCTTGGGACCTGGTTAAGGAATACTTTAAACCAGGGTCCTCAAACTAAGGCCCGGGGGCCGGATGCGGCCCTCCAAGGTCATTTACCCGGTCCTCACTCAGGATTAACCTAAGTCTGAAACAACTTGAAAGCACATAACAACAACAATCCTATCTCATCAGCCAAAAGCAGGCCTACATTTCCCATTGAAATACTAATAAGTTTATATTTGTTAACATTGTTCCTCATTTTAATTATTGTATTGTTTTCAAGTGTTTTACACTACAAATAAGATATGTTCAACGTGCATAGGAATTCCTTCATTTTTTTTTCCTTCAAATTATAATCCGGTCCTCCTACAGTTTGAGGGACTGTGACTTGGCCCTCTGTTTAAAAAGTTTAAGGATCCCTGCTTTAAACAATTGAAAATAGACAGTATAATTTGAAGAGAAAAGATCACAAGAGGACATATAGGGGACAAATGGGAAGCAGACGAGTTACCACAGAAATGATAATACTGAAGAAAGACTAAACGACCACCGAAGATTAGATGGAAGTCAACCAAATTTTTATTTTTTTCTATTTTTTAGTTTTTTTCTTCTTCTTTTTCTTTTCTCTGGTTCTTTTCTCTCCTATTATTTCCAACTTTCTTGGAATTAAAATGTTCTCCCTCTTTCGATGTTAAAGAAAAAAAAATCTTCCTTTCATTTTTTTTGTTTTTCATTACAATAAAAATTTAAGCAAAAAGAAAAATACAAATTCTGAGATAATTTCTATAAGAAGTACCAATTTCCACACCTTTTTAAAAGCATTTTGACATTCTTCCACTTTGAAGACAAAACTTAACCTCACTTGATAGTTATTTTTTTAATTCTGTAGAGCCTATGTGTTGAATGCATTAACCCAAGGTTAAGGAGTGATAAGGGAAAACAGATTGTATATCTTCAGAGAAAGTTTCACACATGATAACATCACATATCCAAGAACTGAGGCCTAGTATTGAAAGTAGAATGTAAGGCTTCACAGTACTGATAGAATCAGGCTGAGCTACATCCTTTTGAGTGCTTCCAAACTGAGTTAAAAGGTGGCATTCTCGACTGTTGCAGGAGCTAAAAGCCAACCATGGGCACAGTTCCAGCGCAAATCTGCCCGCCTGCCCCGCAGCTCCACGTATAGTCAGCTGTCAGCCTCTCTGACCGCCGCCAGCAGTGGGCCAGACATGAGAGGATTCCCATCCTTCATCGGAGCTGAAAGCAATGGCAATGGTAAGGCACTGGAATCAGAAACTGTCAGGGTGAGATATGTGGGTTGAACATGGCTCACCCTCTGGTAACAGACTTGGGGACAACACCAAATGGATCCTTTGAATATTATTAGAATATGTTTATGTGAACATTATTATGTTGGTAGGGATATCTTTTCAATAGTCTTTTTTTTTTTTACCTTTCCACAGGCAATAACACCTGGTTGGAGCTGGTGCCCATCGTTGCAGTCAGCGTTCACCTTTTCACTGGCAATGGGACCGAGGTTCAGCTCTCAGACTCCGTCCATCTCTCTATCCCACTACCTCCAGACACAGCTGCTGCAAGCACTACCAGTGTGCCAGCCTGGCGCTTTGACCTCAAGAGCGGTCAGTGTATGGGGGTCCTTGCAAATCTATTATTACACTACTGTAACTGCTGAATCAAAATTGTAGTCCATAATCAGTGGCATACAAGGCAAGGAGAAATGTTGGTTTTGTTGGAAATAGCAACATTCCACAAGCCTCCTATACTAGTTATTTGTTATGTTTATCATTGAGATTGCTTACTATATTGTGTGTATATATTGGTATGCAGTTTTTTCCCTTAACTCTATGTTTTTAGATGTTGTGTGAGGGTTACAGACCATGTGACTGATCTTAGAATGTTCAGAGTGAGACTCCATTTTAGAATCCATTTGAATCAGAAGTCAGTTGGAATCAGTTAAGTCAGTTAAGCCTTGATTCAGTTGGAAGTTAGAAGTCAGTTAAGTCTGTTGATGTCGGTTAGAGCAGGAGTATAGTCCATACGCTCCAGAGACACTGTTCAACGGAGAAAAAGTTTCGGGCCTGAAAATAGTTGTTCTTTTATGATTTTGGGGTGCTGAAAACGAAAATGACATTTAAAAATGTATATTGGCTCTAGTTTTTATGATATAAGCAATCACGTGATCACGTATGGTTGAAAAAATGCATGTTGCGACTTACACTATGGAAGATTCTAGAATATTCTAGAAAGTTTGATGACGCAGTATTAGTGCCGTGTGCAAAAGCCAGAAAGCCCTCTATAAGGCCAGACTTTTGAACGGTGAGGGTCAGTCAGTTGAAGACTGAGACAGTCTCGTTAAACATCGTTTTACATTGTTCTTTTTACTGTAGTTATGCCTCGCACGTGTGTAAATAAAGCACTATGGAAAAAAGATATCAAGGCAAATGGACTCCGTCAATGCTGTCAGACTACTGCTGGAGCATTGTAAGAGACAATCCTTTCCTTGAATACAAAAGAAAAGTCAAGAGAAGCAAACAGGATAAAAACTAAAGTCACGATTAAAGCGACATTTAAACTTTCAGACTTTTCAACTGCATTAGGCCTACTAATATAGTTTCTTGCTGCACAAACATAAACAATAGACTAATTAAATAAATATTTCTCATGTATAAACTATTGGCAATATAATTTGACTAAAATTTAGTAAATAGTCACGATTTATATACATGCAGTAAGGTTAGGCGCATTATCATAATATTAACAAATTACCTATTGTGGAGAAAATTGAAATAGCTGTTGCATAAAAACCAGAGCCAATTAACACATTTAATTATTATATTTGAATTCAGCATGTTAAATTTATTAAGAAACGGCACATTTCGTTTCCGTAACTGAGAAAAACTGAAAATTTGTAGAACAGTGAGATATGTTAGTTAATATATGAGTCTGTCTGAATCCGAAGTATAGTACAAAAGTTGATGTATTAGTCAGTTAACATGAAACCAATAAGCAATGTAGCTGTATGTTAAATACACGAAGTTTGTAAGTACATCAACTATGTTAAATTTTAACAAAAACTACTTTTTTGGTCTCTTGAGAGCGTGTTTTAAAACCAATATATTTTGTGGGAGAGTAGATATATATATTTTGGGCAACCTAAAAAACACTTCTAAAGATCTGCTATATATTTTATGCATTGGCATATCTTTGTTCCTAACAGTTCATAGAGATAACTAGGCATATCAGTCTAACAACTGAGAAACCTAATTTGCCTTGTATGTATGCTAGTGGATATGTACCACTAAGGAGAAAATTAACTCAAGTGAGTTTTTAACTCTTCTTGAAAAGATCATACTTTACAAAAAGATTACAATCCCTAACAAGGTCATCTTTTCCCAAAAGATGCATTTATTTGCTGCCTTTCTCAGCCCGAAGGCGACTGAAGGCGGCTTATTGTTTTAATGCTTGCTGATGTATTGTTTTAATTGTGATTTATGTTTAATTGTGGTTTTACTATTGTAATTGTTTGTCTTGGTATTGTATCGGTGCCCAATGTAAGGCATTGAATCTTGCCATTATTTATGTGTAAACTGCTTTGAGTCCCCCCAGGGGTGAGAAAGGCGGTATATAAATACTGTAAATACCCTGGCACGATTCGATGCCACAATTAATATAAACAAAATTAAAACAAAATTAAAAACAATTAACACACATTAAGCATAAAAAGCATAAAAACACCAGTAACTTCCTATTAGCTCATTTCCCAAAGATATTGTTAAACCGTTCCATGCTAATTCTTTCCTGGATTCCATACTCATCCACTACATTGCATTTTCAAAGGCTAGTTCAAAAAGCTAAGTTTTTATTTTTTTTCAGAATGTCACTAGGGAGGGGGACAATCTAATATCCCTTGGGAGGGAGTTCCATAGCCCAAGAGCCACCACTGAGAAGCCCCTGTCTCTCGTCCCCGCCAGGTGTGCCTGCAACAAAGGTGGGATCGAGAGCAGGGCCTCACCAAATAGTGTGAATGCCAATTAATCTCCAAAAGAGTCACGCTTCCAAAAGCCTGTGGAGATTCCTGGTTTTCCCAATAGCTTTGTTTGGGTAATGTTACAGCAGAGGAGGCACAATAACCAGTTTCAGAACTGAAACATCTCTTCTGTGTCTTTGGAATCTAGGCATCTCTTTATGGCCATAAAATCCTCTAAGTGCTTATATTTTAAAATAAAAACCCATTAGTGGGAATTCTGAGTCAGGCAAGAACATTGCCATGTCTGCAGATGGAAGCCTGGTATGGAAAGACAATGCTCCCAGGAGGAAGCTCTTGTTGATAATGGAAGTGTTACGAGATGGCTGCTGGATTTGTGTTTCTGCCGTTGAGTCTCTCATATTAGTATTTGCAGTTTAGGACCGTCAGTCATAGCTGAAAGGTTATTTCAATAGCGACATACATAACACTTGCTCTAATTTAATATAAGTGAAAGACTGTGTTAATTGGAATAGGATGGATTTTGTAGGGTCAGGGGTACTCTGAGGACCACATTGGGCACAGTCACTTTTGTACTTGTGCTCTCCTGTGCAACAACATTTTATTTATTATTCTGGCATTTTTATCGCATCCTTCTCAATCCCCTGAAGGGGGAGTCAGGACGGCTTACAATGGGCCCCGTTACGAAGCCATTACATAACAATTACAGTAATTAAAAGCATAATTAACAATACATAAGCCATCATTAAAATAATAAAACAGTCTCATCAGCCATATCGACGTTCCCGTCACATCCCTTTAAAGTGCTGCTTGCATCTATTGTCCAAAAGCCTGGTCCCAAAACCATGCCTTTAATTTCTTTTGAAAAGCTAGGAGGGAGGTGGCCGATCTTACCTCAGTTGGGAGGTGGGGGGGCATCACCGAGAAGGCCCTGTCTCTCGTCCCCGCCAGGCGCATTTGTGCTGTTGACGGGAGCGAGAGCAGGGCCTTCCCAGATGATCTTAGGTTTCAAGGTGGGACGTAGGGGTGGATGGGTTCAGACAAGTAAGCTGGACCAGAACCATATAGAGCAGTGGTTCTCAACCTGTGGGTCCCCAGATGTTTTGGCCTTCAACTCCCAGAAATCCTAACATCTGGTAAACTGGCTGGGATTTCTGGGAGTTGTAGGCCAAAACACCTGGAGACCCACAGGTTGAGAACCACTGATATAGAGTTTTATAGTTCAGAACCAGCACTTTGAATTGGGCTCGTAGGTGGATCGGCAGCCAGTGGAGTTGGCACAACAGGGGGGTGGTATGTTCCCTGTATGTCGCCCCAGTTAGTAGTCTGGCTGCCAACTGTTAGACTAGCTGAAGTTTCCGAACCGTCTTCAAAGGCAGCACTACGTAGAGCGCATTTATTTATTATTTATGTATTTAAAACTTTTATATCCCGATCTTCTCACCTCCGTAGAGGGACTCAGACCGGCTTACAGCAAGGATTCAATGCAACTAATACAAGTTAAAACATCATACAACAATACAAGATTAAAATACATATAGATAAAATACATATATACCAAATCTCCAAGGTAAAATCATTTTCAACTCAATCCGCATATGTGGTCACTCACTTTGGTCTGTAACCAGTCTCAGCCATTATTCTGGGAATGCTTCATTCCATGACCAGGATTTCACTCGCCTCCTGAAGGACAAGAGGGAGGGGGCAGATCTAATCTCGCTCGGGAGAGAGTTCCATAGCCGAGGTGCCACCACAGAGAAAGCCCTGTTTCTTGTTCCCACCAAACGCGCTTGCGAAGGTTCTCAACCTTGTAGGCCAAAAACATCTGGGGATCCCCAGTTGAGAACCACTGTACTAGAGCGTGGACCACTTTGGCCAAGTCAGACTTCCCAAGGTACGGGCGCAGCTGGTGCACAAGTCTTAGTTGTGCAAAAGCTCCCCTGGCCACCGCCGAGACCTGGGGTTCCAGGCTCAGCAATGAATCGAGGATCACTCCCAAGCTTCGAACTTGCGTCTTCAGGGGGAGTAACGCCATCCAACACAGGCTATAACCCTATGGCCTGTTCGGCCTTTCAACTGACTAGGAGCACCTCTGTCTTGTCTGGATTCAATTTTAATTTAGGTTGGGCCATGCTTCAGAGCAGCTTACTCCATAACTACGGTCTGCAACATAAAAAGATTATGAAGGTATTTTTTATATTAGGGTTAGTAAATGTCTGCTCTTCCTTTGGATAGCAAGTTGATTGTGTAGTTCTCTCTTCTTTCAGGTCTCTGGATCCGGAATGGGACTGGCCTCATCCGCAAGGACGGGAACCAGCTTTACTGGACATTTGTCTCTCCGCAGCTGGGTTATTGGGCAGCTGCCATGCTGTCTCCAACAAATGGTATGATCATTATTACAAAGCCTCTTGTGGGCTTTGCTGGGGAACTGTCAAGAAACTTGTCACAAATCTATGAATGTACATTTTCCGTTTAACTGTGGAAAATGTTTGGAGTGTATTTGAAGGATCAATATTTCCTGAAAAATAAGTATGTCTGAGTGTGTGTGGAGTACTTTTTCCATAACTACTGAATAATTATAGCTAGTTCTTCCAAATTTGATCTGCCATGGGCAATACATTTGAGGAAAAATATTTAGTGTCTCAAAAACAAGTAAAGCTAGGATTACGAGGGTCCAGGAAAAGGCAGAAAGAATATGAAGAAAACAATCTTCTGTGCTTAAATTTTCTTTTAAAATATTGAATTAATATTGTCCTGTTTTGAATTTTTAAAATCATTTCATGATTTGATTTACAGTAGTAATAAAAAGAAAAATGTGCTGATAGAGGTATTGTACATTCCAAAATCCCAAATTCTGATCTCAAGCATTTTGGATAAGGGATACTCAACCTGTATGTGTATTCTTGGCATTTTATTATCACTTGTGCTGAGATTAAAGGTATTCTATAAGTAGCCATAATAGATAAATAGGTACCTTAAGCTTCCAGGTTATGGGGAAAGGGAGAGGAAGTGGAATGCAACACTGTTCTGTCTTAAGAGTTACCTTCTTTGCAGGGCTTGGAAGTGGCACATTGGGCATTAAAGACATTGCCACCTACCACACCATCTTCCTGCTTACTATCCTGGGTGCCCTGGCATTGCTGGTCCTCATTCTGCTTTGCTTGCTTATCTACTATTGCAGGTGAGTGGCATTGCTGTCTCTTTTCTGCACTATTTCCCTACCATCTCCAACTCCATTCCTAGCTCTAAAGCAGGAATGGACAACAACCTGAGATCCAGCCAGACTTCCTGCTGTATCCCTGACTCCAAAGAAAACAAAGCAGCAGTTGTTGGGGGTTGCAAAAACAATATTGGAGTTACAGGTGATCTGTGGGCTGCATTTTCTTCACCTATGCATTAAAATCCTTTAACACATTAGAAAAGCTGCATATTTTATTTGTTTTTATTTTATTTTGTTTGGAATTTAGACAGTTTATATGAGTGTCTGTCACTTGGACAACAGTGGCCAGCACACATTTTGGTGCCTCAGATGCTAGACGTGTTTCTGGTTATATTTGACTTGCTGATTACAAATAATGCACCCATTTTCCCCATCATATACCATATACTGCCATTTGCTCACCTGTAAAGAAACATGATAACCATATCTCAGAAACTAGAGGTTATGCAGTTTGTCCAGTGTAGGTTTATTAATAATATTACTAATTATTATTACTAATTATTATATTACTAATAATATTACTAATAAACCATTATATTACTAATAATCTATATAAATAAAAATGTAATGTTCGTTTGTAAGATTAACATAACTTAAACACCACTGGACAAATTGACACCAAATTTGGACACAAATACACCTATTGGGCCTATAAGTGACCATCACTCATAAAAACACTGTAAAATACAGCGGAAGGGACTTGAAAAGCCAAAAAAACAAAAATTACATTACAGTGCATGCGCAAAACCATATATGTACACAAACACACATATATACACATATACACAAATATATTCAGAAATACATACACAGATATATGCACACACAAAACACATACACAAAAATGGGGAAGGAAGGAAGGAAGGAAGGAAGGAAGGAAGGAAGGAAGGAAGGAAGGAAGGAAGGAGGGAGAGAAAGAGGGAAAGAAGAAGGGAAGGAGAGAAGGAAAGAAAGAAAAGTAGAGAAGGAAGGAAGGAGAGAATGAAATAAAAATGTGAAAGAGGGAAGGAATGAGAGAAGGAATGAAAGAGAGAAAGAGGGAGGGAATGAAGGAAGGAAAGAGACAAGGAAGGATGGAACCAAAGAGCAAAAGAAGTGAGAAAAGAAACAGGTAGAGAAGGAAGAAAGAAGGGAAAGAAAAAGAAGGAGGGGGGAGGGAAAGAAGGAGAGAAGGAGAGAAAGAGGGAGGGAAGGTTGGCCACAGCAATGCGTGGCGGGTACAGCTAGTATTACAATATAATGGTCTAATACAATATAGTAATATTTAATACTGATATTGTACTATGCTAATAATATAATATATTGTATGTATATATAGCTTGTAAGCTGCTCTGAGTCGGGGTGAGAAGGGTGGCATATAAATGTCGTAAATAAATAAATAAATAAATAACATCAGGAACAGGGCAAAAAACCAAGGCACTAAGAAAAACAAGGTTTCTTGTTGGGTTGTGTAATTAACAATTTGGTCTAGGAGACTTGAGTTCAAGCCCCACCTCCTGCCACAAACACTGCGTAAGACTTCGTTGCATGTTTTAAAAACTGGAGTAACAAAATCTCTCTTCCTAGTATTATTTGTGGGAACTGGAGCAATCAGCGTTTATTTGCTGGTTTGTTTTACTTTTCAATCAGTTGTAGCCAGTCTGAGCTGGAGGGAAAAGCAGCTGAGCAGAGGATTTCAGGAATAGTCCCTGGAATTTGACAGCTGTTGCAAGCACTTTTACATCAGTTGTAGTAAAATGTCAGACAGCCTTTGTGGGCGATTAGTCATGGCTCAGTTCCATTCCCCTCTCATCTCCTTCATTCTCTGGACAGGGCTTGTCCTGCAACTTTGAGGAAATCAGCCATACATACAGCTTGCAGTGTAGAGAGGAAAGTCTATCTTTGTCAGAGGTTTGAGATTCCGGGCACACTAAAGTCCACCACATTTCATTTTAGAAATCAGAAGGTTTCATACTTAGCTCATTCATGTTCTGAGAAGGGGATACATTCATCACTCTCTACCCTGATTGACGTGATTAATGTCACAGGAACTAATGCTGGAATTAATTTAAGGGGGAAATCATTCTTTGTCAAATAATGTTCTCGTTCTTTTACTTGAGAAATATAAAGATTCAGAAAGAGCTGCGATGATTGAGGGGGTAGGGTGGGAAATCAGGAATGACTTGGTAACCAACTCTGGCTTCTTATTCCCAGCATGATTCCTGACTGTCCACAACCTGATCAGTCTTAAACCCCAGATAGCACAGCCAAATAATCTCTGAGTCTATTGGACTATTGTGATGCCCAATATTCTTTGTTTTGGTAGCAGCACGCTCACAAATCCTGGATCAATCTCCCCTAGCTGAACATCCTTCAGATATGGTGGACTACAAACTCATTTTCCCTGTTGTTGTTGTTGTTTATTCATTCAGTCATTTCCAATTCTTCGTGACCCCATGGACCAGCCCACGCCAGAGCTCCCTATTGGTCGTGGCCACCCCCAGCTCCTTCAAAGTCAAGCCAGTCACTTCAAGGATACCATCCATCTATCTTGCCCTTGGTTGGCCCCTCTTCCTTTTTCTTTCCTTTCCCCCCAGCATCATTCTCTTCGCCAAGCTTTCCTGTCTTCTCATTATGTGGCCAAAGTACTTCATCTTTGACTCTAATATCCTTCCCTCCAGTGAGCACTTGGGCTTTATTTCCTGAAGTATGGACGTGGAGGCAGTGACAGTCCTTGTATTTCTAGGTGCAGAGATTACTGCAGACGCAGACTGCAGCCAGGAAAGCAGAAGATGCTTACTTCTTGGGAGGAGAGCAATGTCCAATCTCGATAAAATAATGAAGAGTAGCGACATCACACTGGCAACCAAGATCCGCATAGTTAAAGCAATAGTATTCCCCATAGTCACCTACGGATGTGAGAGCTGGACCATAGGGAAGGCTGAGCCAAGGAAGATAGATGCTTTTGAACTGTGGTGTTGGAGGAAAGTTCTGAGAGTGCCTTGGACCGTAAGAAGATCCAACCAGTCCATACTTCAGGAAATAAAGCCCGACTGTTCATTGGAGGGAAGGATATTAGAGGCAAAGATGGAGTACTTTGGCCACATCATGAGAAGACAGGAAAACTTGGGGAAGACAATTATGCTGGGGAAAATGGAAGGAAAAAGGAAGAGGCGCCAACCAAGGGCAGGATGGATGGATGGGATCCTTGAAGTGACTCGCTTGACTTTGAAGGAGCTGGGGGAGGTGACGGCCAACAGGGAGCTCTGGCGTGGGATGGTCCATGAGGTCACGAAGACTCGGAAGCAACTGAATGAATGAACAACAACAGTGGGCTGGTTTGATCTTCTTGCAGTCCAAGGCACTCTCAGAATTTTCCTACAAAACCACACTTCAAAAGCATCTATCAGCTTTCGTTATGGTCCAGCTCTCGCATCCATAGGTTACTATGGGCAATACCCTTTTCTTTAACTATGCAGATTTTTGTTGCCAGTGTGAGGTCTCTACTCTTAATTATTTTATCGTGATTGGTCATTGCTCTCCTCCCAAGAAGTAAACATCTTATGATTTCCTGGCTGCAATCTGTGTCTGCAATAATCTTCGCACCTAGATATACAAAGTCTGTCACTTCCTCCACATTCCCTGTTGTATAATATAAGATTCCAAAAATGTAATATCGCTTTATCAGGTTAATAATGATTTAAGTATTTATTACTATCTACTGACAAGCTCAGTTTATTGTTCTCTGATCAGCAACATCTCACCAAGGATTCAGACGGAGTGATGCCTTTTTTCAGCCCTGTTGTCTGAGATCCTTCAAATGGAGGCTGAACCTACAAGCCATTTCCCATGTAAAATCCATGCCATGTCACAGAGTTTGAACTACTTCTACTGTCAGATACTGAAATGTGATTTCTGAGTGCTTTTCCTTTTCTTTCTCCCCTTTCAGGAGGCTATGTCTGAAGCCACGTCAGCAACATAGAAAACTTCAGCTCTCTGGGGCACTGGATGCCTCTAAGAAAGACCAGGCTACATCTATGTCCCAGATCAACCTCATTTGCACGAGTCACATGGAAACAGCGTCATCCAATGGTGACACAGATGTCCACACTCCCATTCTAAAATCAGCTTTTTCTTCATCCCGGGAATTTGAAAGCTCTCGTGAGGAATTCTTTAAGCAAGTATCAAACCAGAAGGGGCGTCATACCAGCAAGGGCTCCACAGTAGACACACTGAGCCAGCGAGGGGGCCCAAAGGAAGATTATCCTCGAGGGATGGAGGGCTACTCGCTCAAGGCAGCTCGTTCCATGGATGTCCCTGGCACACTTGAGCCCCCTCTTCTGGAGGACTACAAGCGTGCCTATGCACATCAACGGGCCGAGGACAAGATGAGTGAAACACAACGCAAGCAAGGGCGTAATGACAGCAAGGGCTACATGCAGGAGCCCCCATCACCTCCACCTCTCCCACCTCCCTTTGACCATTATGTGGGTCACAAAGGGGATCCCAAGCCGCCTGAATTCATGATGTCACAGTCTGTAGACCACCTTGCTCGCCCCACCTCACTGAGTCAACCTGGGCAACTCATCTTCTGCGGTTCTATTGACCACATGAAGGATAACATGTACCGAAATGTAATGCCAACTCTTGTCATTCCGGCTCACTACATGCGCCTGGCACCTTCTGATCAGGCTCCGGGGAGCTCTGAAAACCAGTCCGATATGGACTCCGCTGGGATGGGACTCCCTCACCAGTTTGGACCCCAGGACCAGCGCCAGCAGCAGCTCCTCCAACAGCAGCTGCAACATCCACAGTTCCAGCTTCAGCAACATCAAGGGGAAGATGGTGATGGGAAGGGTTGGGGCCCCCACACCCAGTCTGTCAGTGGCTCAGTCACCATCCCAGTGCTGCTGAACGAGTCCACCATGGCCCAGCTGAATGGAGAGCTGCAGGCGCTGACCGAGAAGAAACTGATAGAGCTTGGTGTGAAGCAGCACCCACGGGCCTGGTTTGTGTCACTGGATGGGCGTTCCTCCCAAGTTCGCCATTCTTATATTGATCTCCAGGGTAATGAGAGGAGCCGGAGCAACGATGCCAGCCTGGACTCAGGCGTGGATGTGAATGAAGCCAAGCCACCTAAGCGCCTGAAAGAGGAGCGCCTAGCTCCTTCTATGGGCCCCACTTACTCCAAGCTTGTTTTTGCCGACGCCGACACAGAGCCGAGCAGCAGCGAGAGCCGCACTGCCATTTGCTCACCGGAGGACAACTCACTGACACCCCTCTTGGATGAGAACACAGACCATCGTGCTGCTACTATTCCACGGCGTGGGCGCAGCCGTGGCAACAGCTCACGCAGCAGTAACAGCAACAGCGAACTGCGCCGTGACTCCATGACCAGCCCAGAAGATGACAGCAACGACCCTTCTGAAGGGACTGATGACCAGGGAGACAAGAAGAGCCCCTGGCAGAAACGTGAGGAGCGGCCCCTCATGGTTTTTAACGTGAAGTAGCTCACTGGAGAATGGGCTCCATCCTCATGGTGCAGTGGGACGGTGTGGGGTGGGTCACCAGGACCATGGAGAGCATTTTTCTGTGCAAGTCTGGTGCAGTTTCTTCTTCTCTCCATCTAGACGAGTTCTTGGCAGAACAGAAACCCAAGAGGTCTGACAACAAAACTAAACGGGACAGAGAAAGAAACGGGGCAGCCAAGCTATGCTTCATTCTTTTCCCAGCATGCTCTATGGTCACTCCAGATGCCTGCTTTGCCCTGGGAATGTTAGAAAGTGTCACAAGGAGGTCCTTTTCCACCAACACCAACCACTGTGAATCAAGCAGCGTGGAACTCCAGGAACTGCAGCGACTGTAATAGTGGCAATAGACGTTTCGCTGCTCTGTGATTCTCTGTCAGTTTATAGAAGGAGGCTAGGCCTTGTACTGAGTGGTTCCAGTTCTGTTCCAAGAACCCTTAGCACTCCACCCAGCTTGGCATTGCCAGAACTCGCAGTGGCCCTTTCCCGGACACATTGGGAGTTGAGGTGAAATGGAAGGCATTTAGTGGAATCCTTTAGCCCCACCTTGCAGTTGTGAGTGGGGAGGACAGCATTGTACAGTTCCTTTTTAAAATTCAGTCCTGTGGATTTTCCAAGCCGTGGCATGGTTTGGAGGGAGGAAGGGGCAGGTGCCCAAGGGCTCTAGGCTGATGCCCGTCTTTACCTGTCGTGCCTCAGTTCCCTCAACGTCCTGGGTTGCAGTATAGTGCCCAGATGAGTGGGGAGGGGAGGGTTGGGGAGTGGGGGCACTGGTGTGGCTAACTGTACATATGTGTGTGCATGCGTGTATGTTGGGGGTGGGTGGGAGTCTGAGCCAGGGTGTGTATGTATGGGTAGGTGTGTCAGTTGTCTGACCTCGCTGCCAAATGAACTCCCCAGCGGAGTCATCTCTGTGCCCCCTGCTCCCCTTTTTTTCCTTGTGCCTGCAACTCCTCTGTCTCCTCCAAGTGCCTTCCATCCTCAGCCTCTCCTTCCCACCCTCCCCATCCAGGCAGCTGTGAATGAAACCTTGGATGCCCACAGAGGGATGGAGACATGCCATCTGCTCTGAGCTGTTCAGATCTTCCTTTCTCTCTAATCCCTTGCCTCTGTAGCACTTGGGAGCTTGGTGGGGGAGGAGTCGTGCTGAAGGAAATGGAGGCCGTCATCACATCCCCGGCTTGTAAGCCCAGCTACACCAACTGGCTAAGCCACCAGTCTGGGAAACAGCCCCAACTAGGAACATGGTTGTGGTGGTGACAAATATCCCAGAGGGAGATCAGCAGGACCAAATATTGGAGTGAGGGGTTGTCTGATGGTGGATTGGGGGTGGGGGGTGATAGCTTATATCACACTTCATGCACTGGAGGAGAGGAATATTTGAGGTGCCTCCTGAACAGTTCCTGGTGTACCCAAGGAGAGCATTTGTGGAGGCCTTGCAGGCCAGTAGGAAACATGGAGGTGATATCTATAGAAAGAAAGCCACAAGCTTGCCCCAAGTAGAGTCTTTTTTTTTAACCAAACAAGATGGGAATAAACAGGCGTTAGGGCTGTTGTAGGTTGTTTTTGTTTCTTTTTTTTTAAGATGGTGAGCTTTGGCAATGATTTTTTTTTCTAGCTCAACTTCACACCACTTGAAGATAATAAATGATGCTTTCTAGTAGAGGTGAATTATGGTGGACGTTCCAGCTTGCCCTCTCTGCTCCCACCCATTCAACTTCCTTCCTTTCTAGCAGGCTGTTGGGGGAAGAGTTAGTGTTGCTCTTGCCAGACGTCCAAATGTGATCGCTTACAGGGAGGTTCATCCCGCTCCTCCAGTTACTCTGAATGTTTTGACTCCTCACAGCTCCTATTGCTCTGTCCATTTCTTAGTTTCTCCATATTCTCCCTTCCATCTCCTCCCTCCTTCATGAAATCAAGTTATAGATTGCAGGTTGTCTGCTCCTTCTTTATTCCGATGGTTGCAAACACCATTCGTAAACACCTAGGCCAGTGGTTCTCAACCTGTGGGTCCCCAGATGCTTTGGCCTTCAACTCCCAGAAATCCTAACAGCCGGTAAACTGGCTGAGATTTCTGGAAGTTGTAGGCCAAAACATCTGAGGAACCACAGGTTGAGAACCACTGACCTAGGCTTTAGATGCATTTTAGAGTTGGAGAGAGATGATGGTCATTCTGTGTTTTGAGAGAGGCACTTCACATATGCTCAGAAGCATGGTTCTTTGTTCACCTGTTCAGGGCTGAGCCTTAGCAACACAAACAGGTCCTGGGGCTGAGCCCTAGCTCAAATGAAGTCCTCCTACCCTAGCCTCATTTTTCAGTTATACAGTTGGCCTGTGGCAGTTTTTCTTTCGTGTATTGTCGAAGGCTTTCATGGCCGGAATCACTGGGTTGTTGTAGGTTTTCTGGGCTATATGGCCATGTTCTAGAGGCATTTTCTCCTGACATTCCGCCTGCATCTATGGCAAGCATCCTCAGAGGTAGTGAGGTCTGTTGGAAGTAGGAAAATGGATTTATATATCTGTGGAAAGACCAGGGTGGGACAAAGGACTTTTGTCTGCTGGAGCTGGGTGTGAATGTTTCAACTGACAATTAAATGCTAATCAAGGTTGTCAGTTGAAACATTCACACCTAGCTCCAGCAGACAAAAGTCCTTTGTCCCACCCTGGTCTTTCCACAGATATATAAATCCATTTTCCTACTTCTAACAGACCTCACTACCTCTGAGGATGCTTGCCATAGATGCAGGCGAAACGTCAGGAGAAAATGCCTCTAGAACATGGCCATATAGCCTGGAAAACCTATAACAACCCAGTTTTTCTTTCCTTTCCTAAGTAATTTACACTTTTGTCTTCTCCCTCGTGTTGGTCAATCTTTTGAAGTTTTTTAAAGATGCTCTCTTTCACAATCCCCCTTTCCTTGCCCATCAGCAGCATTATGTATAATCGATACCTGTGGAACTTCCTGCTACTTCATGCGATTGATGGCAAGATCAAGGCTCTCCAGAGATGGAACCAGAAGCCATCTAGATGCACAAGATGAAGTTTCCTGCATGGAAGTCTTGTCAAAAACTGCAGATATTCTGTGTGTAGTTTGTTTGTAACTTGTGTGTCCCCTTCTCAGCTTGTCCATGTAATGACTTCCGTGTGGAAACTTTGATCTTCTATAAACCAGCTCTGAGCCTTTTCCATCTACAGGGAGTGACATGGGATGACCATACACCAAGGTAGACGGCTTCTACAATCACGCTAATGTCGTGGCAATATCTTGTAGGAGTTGAGAGTATCCCATACCTGTGTGCGAACTGTCAGACCAGCAGGAGAAAGCGGCGGTGGTCTTCTACTGGGATGCAGGGCAGTTAATGCACAAAGAGAGTCCACTGAGCCATAATGAATATTTCCCACTTTGCAGGGTATTTTAAAGAGCTTAGTCCATTAGCCAAGCAAAAATCTATTTCACATTTGTATCCATCACTGCAAGTCTGTTGCATGTTTGAGTGTCAACTATCATAGTTTTGAAGAGGACAATGGCATGATCATTTCCACATTATAAGTCACTGCTGGGCAGAGATAAGTCTGCATCCAGACGATGATCTGTGCCAGCAAATCTACACCCACAGGAATCCTAAGCAACCGTTGCCATGATGTGAGGTATCTTTTAAAACAATACACACCTGTGTGATATTAGCTTCATACAAAGATGGTCAAACATCAAGTCAGTTTTAAGAAAAGATGGTGGTAAAGCCACCCACCACAATCAAGATCCCCAAACAAGATACCTCTTCTTCCTTCCCGAATCAGTGCACAATGCTGTTTTCTACTTTTTATAGCTTAAAAAAAAAACCTTGCACAAAAGGAAGGGGGTAAGTAGAGATGTTCTCTGACACTGATGCGTCTTGAACTGTGTGGAATGCCTTTGCTTTCTTCAGTGACCTCAAACTTTTTGTCAAATGTTTTGAGTTTTTTTTTTAAACAAATTATATAAACAAAGAGTTGTGCAAACTTGGCGAAAATTGGAGACTTGATGGCTACTGTTGGTGGAACTTCCTACTTGTTCTTTAGAATGGTATTAATATATAAACCCACTGAATTTATCAAAGTATCATTGCCCTGTGATGGTTTCCTTTTCAGGATAGCATATCCCTTCTCAGCTTTGTTGCTTCTGGCAAAATTATTGGGTGGATGTGTATGTCCTAGGCTCGTGATGGCATACCTATGACACGTGTGTCAGCACTGACACACATGGCTATTTTCGATGACATGTGGCTTCATAGAGAGAAATATGGGGCTGCATACCGAGAAGGATATTTCATCCTCGGCTCCTGCACGGCCATGTACAGAAACATTTACTGTAGTGTAGACACTCTGTGCTGAAGGTCTGTCGCCCAAAACAACAGAACTCCGGCACAGAGCGTCTAGTTCTGGGACTTCTGGTTAGGTTAATAGGAAGTCTTTGACCTCACTTCTGGCTGGCGGAACAGGGAGCAGCGGTATGCCGCAGGGGACACATCTCTGGGGCCCCTGAGAGCGCCATTACCAGCAACCACATAACCACAGCAACCATCATCCAATCCAACTTTTGTATCCCGTTCTCTACCTCCATGGAGGGACTCAGAAAAGCTAACAGCAAAATTCAATGCAATACAATAAATACCATAATAAAACAACATACAATAAATAAGTTCTAAAATACATGTAAAACAATTCACGTTAAAAACAGCATCCAACTCAGTTCAGAACACAGTGGTCAAATAACTCTTAGTCTATAACAGGTCACCATCAGTCTGCAAATGCCTGACTTCAAAGCCAGGATTTTAGTTGCTTCCTGAAGGACAGGAGAGAAGGGGCAGACCTAATCTTGCTGAGGAGAGCGTTCCATAGATGGGGGGCCACCACAGAGAAGGCCCTGTATCTCCAAACGCGCCTGTGAAGGTGGTGAGACTGAGAGCAGGGCTTCTCCAGAAGATCTTCAAGTCCTTGATGGGGAAGATAAACCAGGCCAGAGCAGTATAGGGTTTTGTAGGTTAAAACCAGCACTTTGAATTGTGCTTGGAAGCTAATTGGCAGCCAGTGGAGCTGGTGAAATAGGGGGGTTGTGCGCTCCCTGTACCCTGCTCCCATGAGCAACCTGACTGCCGAGCATTGGACTAATTGGAGCTTCTGGACAGTCTTCACAGGCAACCCCACACAGAGTGTGTTGCAGTTGTCTATTCGGGATGTAACCAGAGCGTGGACCACGCATGGCTAAGTCAGACTTCCCAAGGTACGGGCGCAGCTGGCGCACAAGTTTTAACAATCTACCGTTCTGGGGTGTTTTGGATTTCTAATTGACCATCATTATGGTCTTTTTCTTGAAGTGAAATCCCACCTGAGTTATGCTCAGGTTTTGGGGGAATTTTGATACACCAAGCTCAAAAGGTTGCCCATCACTATCCTAGGCCCATGAGAGCAAACTAGTATAAGAGATGATCACATAGATCTGCTTAAAGTTATTCCAAGTCTGATGTTTGATCTTATTTGTGACAGTTTCACCCTTTTTTGGCACAGAGATAGTCTGTGAGGGCATGGCACTGGAGGCAAACACACAATCAAGGAAACGTGAAGTGATTCACTTTGCCCCATCTGTACTACATATGCCATGAAACCACTACACTGAAAACGTGGACCATGCAAGGATACAGTCATTGAACTATCCGATTACAACAAAATGCAGAGGTGGGGAGAGGAAATAAAGCAACTCGTAATCTATATATGTAATGTTCGTTTGTGGGATTAACATAACTCAAAAACCACTGGACGAATTGACACCCAATTTGGACACAATACACCTCTCAGGCCAATGAGTGACCATCACTCATAAAAACACAGCGGAAGAGACTTAAAAAGCCAAAAATACATTACAACACATGCGCAAAACCACATATATGTACACATACACAACATATACACAGACTGGGCCACAGCAACGCGTGGCAGGACAGCTAGTAAGCTATAAATCAGTGGAGGGGAAAGAAAAGGACCAGAAGAAAGGAGAAGAATGCAAGTTAAGAGTAGCCACATGCAAAAGATGACTGAGGCACAGTGTGTCCCATGTGCGCTTTCATAGCCACACTGTAAGGTAAGAATGGTTGTACTTTCCCTGTCATATCACAGTAATAAGTGTCACATCCTTGGTTGCAGATCTTTAATTCAAGTGCGAACTTTAAAACAACTGTTTGACATCAACCTTGAAACAAAGTCACAGGAGCTGCAAGGAAAAATGGGTAGCCATGTTCCAGTGACCTCTCCCATTGCAGTAATCTAACTGGAAATGGAGCAAGTAAGAAAATAGAAGTATCAACATGTTATGAACCTCAAAGAAATGGGCACAGTCTTGCCTGTTCTGTTATCTGAAACAGCCTGCAGCACCTGGTATTCATTGCCAATCTCTCATCCAAATACTAACTGGAACTGCTTTGCTTCTAAGATCAGATGGGATCTGAAGCCTGTAGGGCAGGGGTGTCAAATTCTTATTTATCGAGGGACGCATCAGCTTTATGGATGCCTTAAAACGGTCATTGAATCCATTGATGGAGAATCCATGGATACAGCGGGGCAAATTATATAGGGGTTGGGTTTTTTTTTTTTTCAGATAGTGGTGGGCGCATTTTAGTTTTTATCTAATTTGGATCCCC